CATGAAAAATAGAATTCGTTCTGCATGTATATTGGTGACTCCGGCAATGTTACAACGAGTACGAAATTCATTCCGGGAATTATTAAGGAAATGTTTGGAAGTCGAAGGCGGTCATTATTTTGAACAACTTCTTAGGCATAATAGACGATAGATAATTAAAAATTAGGCGATAAGATTTTTTATTGTAGTTACCTTTTAAGTCATAATTCCATATTTAGTCGAACAATTTGAAAAATAATTTGTGAACAGACTCCATTTTGTATGTAGAATCGTATTTCAGAATAAAAAACACATCTTTCCATTTAAAATAAGAAAATGACCCCCCACTCCTCTCAAGAGAGTAAAGGAGCAAATGTCAAAAATATCGTAAAATGTGCCCTCCGTGTACTTATTACGTCACCAAAATGTCAAAAAAAAAATTTGCAGCTGTTTTTGACATATCGCATTGTAACACTTTTTTTTCGGGAAATTTGTCAAAAATTATAAATATATCACCATTGGACTACACCTTTCCCAATTGTAATTGAGAAACAGTTAAATCTTTTTCAGTCTCCGTCAAATGTAATTGAGAATAGTTGAATGTTATTTAGAATGCATTAATTGTAATTGAGAATATTCATATGTAATTGAGAAACTGTCAAATGTAATTGAGAATGCGTTATTTGTAGTCGAGAATAATCAAATGTTATTGAAAAAGCGTCAAATATAATTGAGAAAACGTTAAATGTAATTCAGAAAGCATCAAATGAGATCATGCAAAATTCGAAACTGTGGAAAATAATCGAGCAATTAATATCTGATAGCTCCATAAATTCTCATGAATTTGTGGCACTTTGTATATGAAATTTTCGAATTTTCATTATCTCAATATCATTTAACCTATTCTGAATCTCATTTGATGCTCTCTAAATTACATTTCACGTTTTCTCAATTACATTTGACACTTTCTCAATTACATTTGACAATTCTCAATTACACTCAACGAATTCTGAATCCCATTTAACTATTCTCAACTACATTCAACGCTTACTCAATTACATTTGACTATTCTCAATTACAATTGACGCTTCCTTTGGGCGCCAAAATATTGGACCAATAGGAATACTTCCGGATCATAGACATTTCCGGATCAACGGATTGACGAAAAAACGGATGCATGAAAAGTAAGCTTAAGAGTACAAGACGTATACCGAAATTCATATACATCACGGACGTATAAATAGTCACTTCGATAATCTTCATACTATACTTTTTTCCTGCAAATCGCTGAGCGGACGCGTCAAATTAGGCTAGCGATAGGTGCTTTCGGGTTCTCGTTTTCAGAACTGTTCGCGAACCATCCTGGAACTGCGCAGAACTAGTTGCTTACTTTTTCAGTCCTTAGAACTTTTCTCAAATCGTTTCGAATTGATCAGAGTTTGCAAAAACCCGCATATGTTTTATTTGGTTTCATTGATGGCACCAAGTCCAATCTGGCACTAGCAGGAGAACGCTATAATTGATGAAATAAATCATGAAGCTATTGTGATTTGTAATGTGGTTTTTTTCATCCAAGAATTTTCCTCGAGATTTTTGCCGCCCTTCGATTTCGTCGCCCTTCGATTTTGCCGCCCCTCGATTTCGTCGCCCTTTGATTTTGCCGCCCTGTGTAGGGGCACAGGCTGCACGGGTCCTAGAGCCGGCCCTGCCTAACCCCTACCCCTCCTGTCCTGGGGCAAGCTTCCCCTAATGAGTTTTCTAAAATGAAAAACTATCACGTGTGATACCTCCTTTAGGTTTTTTATTCCTCTTTAGAAGCGTGACATTTTCATTTCAGCTACAATATAGAACATAATCACTTGACTCCATCTGGAAAACACAAAAACAATTTTGTCTGGCAAAGTTGAAGAGCATTCTATTAAAGTCCCATCAGGCTGAATTCACTTGAAACCACGTTGTACAGCTGAGACCCAACAGCGAATCATAATTCAACCATTACTCACTGGTATTCGGTAGTGTCCCACTGCTACACTTACCTTATATAGTGTAATCGTGCAACAAATGAGATCCTAGCCGAACGAAAAAGCAGATACCCTAGCACGCACTGCTATAAGAAAAGATAATGTTGTCCTGCTACCGCTTTTGGTTACCGAGATATTTACGTTTGAAGATTTGCAAATTAAAATTCGAAAGGAGTCCTTAGGAAAAAAAGGAAAAAGTACCAAAAACTGAAAATTTTTAATTTTGGATTTTTCTCAATTCTGAGTTTTCAAATCGATAGAGCAAGTTCAAATTAAACAGAAACAGCTCTAACATCGGTTACATTTGAAAACTTCTATGAGAAAAAAAATCCAAAAAGAAATCCCATTTTTGGCTATGGAGATTTATTGAGATTTTGACATGCTCCTGAATAATTGCTCATATCTTCAATGGAATTTGAAAAACTTAGCTACAATTATACATCATTGGTGGAAAGAGTATTAAATTCTCTATAAGCCCTGCAAAACTGGTTTTTGTTACTTGTAAAATTCCGGAGATATTAGACTTCAAATTTGAAGTTCAAAACTTCAAACTCGATTTTCTCAAAAACCTTAAACGATAGAGATTTCAGTAAAGTACCATTTTGAAACAATATTTGTGAGCTACCATTAAAGAATTTTGTCACGGTAACGCTCTTGGTTACCGAGATATTCAGGTTTGAAGATTTGCAAATTAAAATTCAAAGGGGGCTTAGGAAAAAGTACCACAAACTGAAAATTTTTATTTTTGTATTTTTCTGAATTCTGACTTTTTGAATCGATAGAGCGAGTTTAAATTCGTCAGAAACATTTCTAATATCAGTATCATTTGAAAATTTCGATGAGAAAAAAAATCCAAAAAGGAAATCTAATTTTTGGCTTTGCACATTTTTCGAAATCTCGACATGCTTTGACATGGATAATTGCTCATATCTTCAATGATATTTGAGAAAATTGCCTACAACTATGCATCATTAGAAAGAGTATTAAATTCTCTATCAGCTCTGCAAAATAGGTTTTTGTAACTTGTGAAGTTTCCGGGATATTGAGCTTCAAAGTTGGAATTTGGTTGACATTTTGTCCAAAACTTCAAACTCGATTTTTTCGAAAATCCTAAACGATAGAGAGTTCGGTAAAGTAGAGTACTACTACTACTACTGCTATTACTCAAAGATAGTCAAAATTACTAGTTTCCAAAATGTGCTTACTTTCAAACACCGATATTTCGAAAACTAATCGTATAATTCAAGATTTTGCTATAAGACTATAAAGGAAAAGCAACGAGCTATCCAACGATGTACGACACAAGGTAGGTTCTTATTTGAAAAAAATACGTTAGGGTAGCTACACCCTAAGGGGGCATGCGGGGTGACGCAAAAAGTCCTTCATTTTGGTTCCCCCTCCAATCCCACGATACGTATATTTGAGATTTTCTTATGATAATATTTTTTGGCTAAGAGATATTCCCGATTGCTAATTTCCAAATTGTCACCCTGTACCTATATAAAAAACATTAATTTGCTACACTTGTGATAACGGAAAAACTTTTTTTCTTGTATTGATACAAGGACTTCAGGATTCTAAACTCGTAGAACCAAAAGAAATCTCGTGTCGAATTTTGCTTATTCCGCGCTTTTACAGTCGTTATGGATTATACTATTTGGTGTTCAGTTACAAATTAATGAAAATGAAAAATTAGAAGAAAAAAAAATGCTTTTCAATAGGCCGGCATGCATGGAGGTAAGTAACATCCTGTTTAGCATTCGGTAATCCGTTCGACAACGGTTCTGTTTTTGAAATGTAACACCCGTGGTTGCATGGACGTGCGCTTTATCGGGTGTTATTTACCCTCGTTATTAATCCTATTACCATCTTGTAAATAATTATTTTTGAAAAAGAGGGTTTTTGGAAAAGAGGGTTTTTGGCTGTGTGCACATCAACAATGTAGAGGAGGGAAAAAAAAAGTGTGTATTCTGTGCATGAAAATTTATTAATAGCAGAGCGCTTTCGGCCTTAGGCCATCATCGCGTGCAAACCGCTACATCCCAACACGCCACGATAAACCGCGCGAAATAACGTGTGTGTATGCCGACCTAATAGATATTTTCAGTAGGAAATTTTATTGAAAAAAAAAAAAACTACTCTCAATACATCGTCTTTAGTAACAAAAAAAACAGGAATTCCAATATTTGCGTACTTTTTCTTATTTATTGTTATTTAACACAAGAAAGGGGGTGCAGGTGTGACAACACACATAATCTTCGTTTCCAATCTCCAGTTAAGCCTCTCAATACTTAAGAAACTGCGATACGTCTAAGTAGACCTTCTATAGAAAAATCGAACCGGAAGAAGAAAAAATGTGCCAACGAAGGACATTATATATTAACTTATACAATTCATACTCCCACTGGGTGAAAAATGTCAAGGCTGTCAAAGTTTGACAACCTCCAAAGATCTTCATTTGAAAAAAAAATTAAATAATAGGAAGCCTCTTGAGGGCCTGATATAATTTTTGGCCAATCCTGTAAATGCGTTAGAACTTAAATCTTGCACTTATTTTCAGTAAAACAGTTGTTGCTATCCTTTATATTTTTTTGGCAGTCGGAGAGAGAGAAAAAGTGCTTCTTCAGTCTTCACCCTACTGCTAGATTAATTCAATGTACTGTCCGAATATTTCCAATTATATTGTTCAAACAACTTGAAATAAAATTATTATGAGTTTATACGTGAAATTCTCAAATTCTTTACTTCCCTACAAACAAAATTTTTATCTGTGTATACGATTTGTGAGCAATAAAAATTAATCATTAATAGTAAAACTTAGGTATGTTGCTACTAAAACAATTGGCCATTACCGATTAGTTTCTTGAGTCTTATCAACATGTTGATAACTTACTGTGAGACAACGCGTTTGTGGTATACCAGTCAGTCGCAACCGTGAATGAATCGCATTCGGCGATTAATTTATAGTCATTTTTTTCATTTAACTTTGATTCGTGTACCGTACCATGGAGTATCAGAGTCCTGTAAAATGGAGTTTGAGGCAAATCTTCACCCAATCGATCATCCAGTTGGAAAGTTTAGCGGAAACTGATGTGGGGCGAAGTAAAGAAGCCGGTTTGTATCTCGAATCGGCCTATTTATCTCCCCGACATGCAGTTTTTGTAGTGGACGTTGATGGAAACTTAATGCTCAGAGATCTAGACGTAAGTTTGGGATTTTGTCTGAATAATTAATTTTCACATTCAATCATGAATTTTTTCTCTTCTAGACTGTTTTTGGAACTTTCGTCAATGGAATAGCTTTGCCATCAGGCGGCAACCAAGTACTGGCTCATGGCGATATTGTCAGTTTTGGATTGGCACATTACAGGGAAGCTTGTGCTTCTTTGAAGTGATGCACATTATAGAGAATTGAATTAAAGCAAGAATTGAAGCAAGATGTATAGATATATTTTTGGTAATTTCTTAACCTTCATTAATTCTGCACTCACTTATAAATTTTTAATTCCATGTTTTACACGCAAAATTATGTTTGATTTTTTTTTTTGTACTTTGTAATATTGCAATTAAATTTTGATATGGAATGTTTTCTGTTTTTTTTTTTTAAATTTCTCATATTGTCTGTCCAATGGAGTTGAGCACCTCTGTCTGTACCAGACTCTTTCTTTTTTAAGCCTGTATGGTTGCTGAGGAACAGCTACATATAGCTTTAGAGGCACAATTTTGCTCTGGTTTAAGTCCTATCTTTTAGAGGCCAGCAGGTTATGGAGTTTCAGGGTGAGCAGTCTGCTGTGGGACTCTTGACTGCTGGATTTCCGCAGGGATCATTGTTGGGACCCTGCTATCCTTATCTATGTTAATGGCCTTACACACTCAATATCTCAAGGCCGCTTTGATTTCAGCAAAACATATATTCTAAATTTTAAGGGAGACCTGGGTGAGGTTGTTTCGGTTCGAAGTGATCGAGACTGGCTCTTCAGCGAAATTTTTGGGTCTATTTGTAGATTCCAAGTAACGGTTTAATTATCATGACGGGCTGGTGCGGCAGTGCAATATAAGCGAAGGCTCACAACTTAGAGATTCAGGTTTCCCCATTGTCTTATAATAGCAAAACCACTCGTATTACATAAATCTGACCGTGTCAGAGTAATACAAACTCATAGTATGAGTAATTAACAGTGTGTTGAAGCTTTGGTAAAAATACCTGTGTTTTCCAAAGAAATTTCAAAAATCCTCAACAATTTATATTTTCCAATAATCAAGTGAAACACACAGGAAAATTTAAAATTTATATTTATATTCAAATCTTAACTGTCTGGCGGTCCTCGAGAGAAATAATTCATTTTATTTTAACTGCGGTAATATTTTTAAAGTTTTATATTGTTTGTGACCTTTTGTGTACAGATCTGTAATTCTCGTCGTGTCATAATGCTTTTTATTCTCGTCATCGCTGTTTTATTTACAACTGCTCCAATATGAATTTCTTCTTCGTTCGTTTGCAGGTAGTGGTAGTACTGATGATGGCGAAAGCCGAAAGCGCTCTACTACGCTGAATTTCATCAAACAAAATTTGCATGAAATACACCTTGTTTCTCTCCTTTTATTTTATTGGCAATTATAATTTGAAAGAGCAAAAATGCACAGAAAAAAATGAAACAAAGGAGCGAAATTATTGTCAAAGAAATACCCATATACCAATATTGTTTGGTGATCCCATTTTTAAAAGTGTGTGGTGTGTGTACATCCTTTGAATATGTATGAAAAACAATTAACCAAATATGGGATCCCAAGCGGATGTGTCTAAAAATAAAGTTTTTTTTTTCCCAGAGTTACACATAGTAGGCCCACAAAAAAAAAGCTATCAATATGTTACTGCCTACTTAGAGGGTTCAAGTTAAGCACAACACGATGTAAAAATCTACGGTAATGTGATGTGTGCTAAGACAGATGAGAGAAGGATGTCATGGTCGGATCTGGCGGGGCTTAGGAACAGATGACGATCAGTCACACGTACACGCGGAAGGGCAGGACGTTGAAATATCACGGCGCGACGGTGCAAATATGGAATATGCTTGTAATATGGAATACCTTGGTTTTGTCTGAACCAAGTGCCGCCATCTGTCGAAAAACGGCTAAAATTGTGAGTTTATGTCATTTTTATTGGCGGCAAACTGTCACGCGCCATTTTTGTGAGGTTATAGCTAATCGTGTGTGTACATGTGAATTTCGGATGCTGGAAATTTTAGCACGTAAGTGAATATGCAGGCCTACTTTTGTTGCTTGCATGTTTTTATTTAAATAATTGTTACGATGCTACTGTATAGGAACTAAAGTTTAGGCTCACGTTGCATTTGTTTCCGTTTTAGTTGTGATGTGCTGATTCCAACCTCGAATATGGATGACATAGGTTGTCGCAAATATGGAATACTAGTATTCCATATTTGCACCACGTTTTTTTAATCGAGTTTCTCACTGATTTCTTTTTTTAGGATGCCACGAAAAACAGAACGTCGTCCTTGTGATCATAAAAGAAAGCAATACAAGGAAGAAGACATGGCTAGAGCAATCAAGGCAGTAAGAGATAAAACAATGGGATATCTCAAGGCATCCAAAACCTTCAGGGTTCCCCGTACAACGCTCTTTCGTTTAAGTCAAAACAACACAGTTCCACCAGATAAGGCTGCAGCAACCAAGCTTGGAAGAAAATGTGTTCTGGGATCAGAGCTCGAGAAGCTCTTAGTTGATTACATTTTGAAAATGGAGTCCAACTTTTACGGGCTGACAATGATGGATCTGAGGCGCATGGCCTATCAGTTGGCCATGAGAAATAAAATCAAACACCCGTTTTCTACATCTGGAATAGCAGGCAGAGCCTGGATTGATTTGTTTTTGAAGCGACATCCAACATTGTCAATAAGGAAGCCAACGGGGACATCGTTCGCAAGAGCTGCAGGTTTTTGTAAAGAAAGAGTAAACGGCTTTTTTGACCTCCTTGAAAAACAAATGCCTCATTCCCCGAACAACGTTTATAATGTAGACGAAACAGGCTTAACGATTGTCGAAACTAAAGTATCGTCAGTTATAGGTCTTAAAGGCAAACTTCAAGTTGCTTCATTAATATCAGCAGAGAGAGGGGCTTTGATTACAGTTATTTTTTGTATGAGTGCGGCTGGAAACTTTGTTCCTCCCTTGATGATTTTTCCAAGGAAAAACATGAGCATTCAGCTTATGAGGGGAGCTCCTCCTGGGTCCGTAGGAGTTGCACATCCATCTGGCTGGGTACAATCCCATATTTTTACTCAGTGGTTCCGCCATTTCCTCCAGTTCACTAAACCAAGTCAAGAAAACCCTCTGTTGTTAATCCTTGATGGCCATTACAGCCATACACGCAATATTGACGTTATCGACCTTGCAAGGGACAACCATGTTACCATTTTATGTCTGCCTCCTCATTCGACGCCCAAGCTCCAGCCTTTAGATAAGTCATTTATGGGGCCATTAAAGGTGTATTATAGCGAAGAAATTCGTATTTGGATCCGCCAAAACAAACGGTCTCTAAGTGCTTTTGATATGATGGAAATATTTGGCAGAGCTTACGAAAAAGTTCAGACATACACAATAGCGGCTAATGGTTTTCGCACCACTGGTATTTACCCTTTCAACAGGAATGTTTTTTCTGAAGCTGATTTCATTGCTGCGGAACAAGAAGCAGCGAAAAGAGGAATAACCATTACCTCTCAAGAAGTCAAAACACCAAAAGCTATCCTTGCAGACAAACCCTCCAGCTCTAAATCTTTAATTGCTCCTGTCGAAGAACGATGCTCCACAACTTTGGTTGCCCTTTTCGATAGACCTTCATGCTCTAAATTTTCGATTGCTCCTATCGCAGGTCCATCATGCTCCACAACTTTTATTCCTTATTCCAATAAACCTTCATGCTCTAAATTTTCGATTGCTCCCATCGCAGGTCCATCATGCTCCACAACTTTTATTCCTGGCTCCGATAAACCTTCAAGCTCTAAAGAATCATGCGCACACAATGCACCTGTCAGGATTCAAGCTGCTGACCTAGACCAAGATCAAAACTCTGCCTCAGAAGATGATGTGGATTCATCTCAGCAGCTTGTTTCACCGTTTGAAATTTCTCCTGTCCCAAACACAATCCGTAAAAAATCCAACAGAGGGCGCAAAACAATTGGATCTACGGTGATTACCTCGTCACCTTACAAAGAACAACTGAACGAGTCAATAAGTAGAAAGAATGAAAAGGAGGCAAAAGCGTGTGGCGTTAAAAGAAACTTGGGTCCCTCAGGAAAATCCATGATATCGAAAATAGATCCTCCAAAGGAAAAAAAAACCAAGTCCAAAATGAAACGTCCAAAGAATGCGGTTTCTTCTGATGAATCTGAGAATTCAAGCGATGATGTAAAACTTGACGATTCTGACGATGATTTGGAAAATATGGCAGGTAAATTAGAACCTAATGAGAACGATGCTCACTGCATGTTTTGCGAGAGTGCGTTTTCTGCTGATCAGAGGGGAGAATTATGGGTCCAATGTTTAATGTGCTCAATGTGGGCTCATAATGAGTGCGCAGGCGCCGAAAAAGACCTGTATATTTGCGACTGGTGCAAGTGACCTTATATTTAATTTTAACTTTCAGGAATCATGATTTCATCGATTATTTCTCTGATATTCAATGTATTCCATATTTGCACCACCTTTTCTTGAGTTGGCATTTTGTAGTTTTTTTTCCAATTTATTTTTTTGTAAAAATGTTTTGGCTAAATACAGATTTGCTTTTATACGATGTTGTCTAATTGTGTAAAGTACCTTCTCACCCAATTTGGCTTGATTCTATTCATCAACAAAATTTTTTTATATACAAAACAAAATGGTATTCCATATTTGCACCTTCTCCTCTACACGGGGGGACACATTTTAAAATATTTTTGACATTTGCCCTTTCACTCTCTTGAGAGGAGTGGGAGGTCATTTTCTTATTTTAAATGGAAAGATGTGTTTTTTATTCTGAAATACGATTCTACATACAAAATGGAATCTGTTCACAAATTATTTTTCAAATTGTTCGACTAAATATGGAATTATGACTTAAAAGGTAACTACAATAAAAAATCTTATCGCCTAATTTTTAATTATCTATCGTCTATTATGCCTAAGAAGTTGTTCAAAATGACCGCCTTCGACTTCCAAACATTTCCTTATTCTTTCCCGGAATGAATTTCGTACTCGTTGTAACATTGCTGGAGCCACCAATAAACATGCAGAACGAATTCTGTTTTTCATATTTTCTGGAGTCGTAGGAGCAGTAGCCATCACTTTATCCTTAATAAATCCCCATGAAAAAAATCAAGCGGGGTCAAATCTGGCGAACGAGCAGGCCAGTTGACAGGACCAC